GAAAGGGTTGACTGTACTCTATACTATACTCCACTACGCTCAGCAACACTAGCCAAAACACATATAGTTGTCTAGGACTAATGCTTTAATTCTGCGTGTTCTGTTCATTAGCTGCTGTGTTTCCCGAACCCCTGGTAGATGCGTTTGCTTTAAACAGCCTTGCGAGCTAAATGTGCAAAAGCATGCATGTCAATACGTTTCCGGCACTTAACTGTGACTCCTGTCATCCTAAAGGCTCATCCAAATCTAGTTCGCTCCCTTCCTCAAAGCCCACCGGAGCTCTTAATAGTCATTTAACCTCCATTACTCGAAATTTGCACTCCCCCGATTTGCATAAGCTCTTTGCTGTTTCTGTATTGAGGCTGGGTGGGGGTGCGGGGGGGGGAGTAATAGCGGGGCTGAGAGAGAATAAGGAGGAAGAAAGTAAAGATGGGATTGGTGGATGAGAGAGGGGGGGGGGGCACCTGAAAAGGAGAACAAGTAGTGAATGAGATCAAAAAGGACTGGGGAAGATTCCGTGTGAGAGCGAGAGGTAGACGGCGAAGGATGGGAGAGCGTGAAATTCAATCAGAGGAGGCCAGCAGAAGAGAAGAAAGAGCAGGAGTGAGGAGAGGAGTTAACCTACTTATCTAAACTGATGTTTGGATCTGTGATGGGGGGGTTGAGTGTGAGAGGGGCAGACTAAATGTGGTGGGGGGGGGGGGGGGGCACATTGCGTGCCACATCTGAGGTATAATGGCAAACAATGGCAAAAAAGCTGCCGTGTTCACCGGAGCGTGTGGGGGTGCTCTTGCTCCTATGCTCTGGAGGGGCTCCTCATTGTCCCCGTCCTCCCATTCTCATCCTCCCTTGATCTCCTGTTCTCATCTTCTGTTTCACTTTCTTCCCATTTTCTTCCTGTCAGTTTCATTTTGGTCTCTTAGTGTCTGTAGATGACATCAGCCTTATACCTCCTCCCAGCAGGGCTGCGGTGAAATTACATCATATTTAATCATGTCTGCTTTGTGCAAAGTGGTCCTGTACTCATACTCGCTTTGTGTGTGTGTGATTAGGTTTATATTACATTATGGGGACCAAATGTTCCCCACGATGTAATAAAAACCTGTTATTTAGACGCTGTGGGGACCATTTTTCAGGTCCCCGCAAAGATCTGTGAATTCAAACAAAAAAACTAAAAAAAAACTAAAAAAAGGAGGGTACTGTTGCTCAGTGGCTAACAGTTTTAGGCTCAAGCAATGTTTACCTTTGTGTGAATTTCAGATCGAGGCCCCAAGTTCAGATGACTCAAACTGGCCTTCTGTCAATGCTCTCTGTCAATAGCTGCTCTGAATCGGGACACGAAAAAAATGAAACGCCCCTCAGTCGCTCCTTCCGCGGACGGCAGGGGCCACAGCTCCTGACATCCATCGTCATTTGCACTCGCACTTCGTAAAACCACAAGGTCATGCTCGATTTAGCACAGCGTATCAGAGGGACATAAGTATTGTTCACTGCGAGGAGGAGTTCTTTCATTGTTGTTCGTTTTCCTCCTTAGTCTGTTCTCTCGAAACTCCTTGTCATTCTCTTGCTCTCCATTTTTTGTGCTCTGTCTCTTTCTCTCTCTTCCATTCCCCTGTTTAAGACATCCAGTGTCAAAGTTATTTGTCTCATCCTGCTTTTTCTTGTCTCTCACTTATCTCCCGCTGTCTGCTGTAAGGAGAGGCTCAGGCTGGACTTTCCCGCTGGCGTGTTCTTTTGTACTTCCTCGCTGTGCACCTCCGGTTTCGCCTTTTTGATGTGATGCTCATGCCAGTTATGATAACTGAAATGCCTATTGTTACGTAATATGTCTGCCGCTGCAAACTGATTTGACTCTCTGCCACTGCCGGCCACTTTGTCGGTCTATTATTTACTTCTCTTTTCTTTCCTCACCGCTTCCTTCCCATTCCTCTGTATCCAAACTCCCAGTCCCACAGAGGGAATCTCATATGGATGCTTCCCTACACCATAGTACATTGGTGTGCTGAAGGCCAGAGTCAAAGAGGTTTAAGGGGATTTATTTTAATTAGCACTTCACTGATACCTCAAAGACCCCCTGTAGCAACCTGCTATCGAGTTAATAACTTCGTTTGCACGGTTAATGAAGAGATGAGTGAAACCTGATCACCCCGTGGTCCTTGAGGTCCAGGGCTGGCCTCCCCTGCTTGAGATTATAATGGTTATGAAGGTGATGTGATTAATATGCCTTGGCAGTGTCAGAGCAGTAGTAATAACATCTACTCTTCCAGATAGTTCCATATACCTTTTGTTTATCCATCTGAATTATTTTTATATTTTCTGCCTTTATTTTGCTTCTCTCTTTTCTCCTGGGCTTCTCATCTCATCCTCCTCATCTGCCTACTCACAGCACGTTTACTGGACACACGAATAGTGAGATCTCTACTATACTATGCTATACTCCACTGTACTCGACTATACACTGCTTATTGTCAGGCAGCATTTAGCACCTCAACTTCAGCGGCGTCGCAGAGCGTCTGTCAGGCTCCCGGACACTATGTGGAGTTTCCGGATCTCCTCAAGCTTTTGCAGCTGGCTTGGACAAGTGTGACTATTACAGAGCATATGGCTGTACAACGAACAGGACTCTACGCTCTGCCTTTATAGATATACTCCAGATGGCTGCGGTTCAGTTCCCTTCCAGTACCCCCTGCCACCAGAATCCCCTGCAGGTCATTGGAGTTGTTGTGTTAAAAACTGACCTAAGTATGGTTGTGTTCAGATGGCCGGTTAGATGTGATGGAGATAGGGGTGACCATCCTGGGGGGTTAATGGAAGGGTAATCCTTGTGTATTGGCTTGTTTCTGGTTGTGACGTGCGAAGGCAGAGTACTGCCACCTGCCAGACCGGCCCTAGTGTGGGGGATGCGGGGAGCAACTTAAGGGGCCGTGACCCACACATGCAGGGCACACAGAAAACACGCTGGGCACACGCTTCTCTTCGGAATCATCCAGCCCGCTGCTCCCTTTTGCTTGTAGGACTAGTGAGATTATGGTCTGATTGGAGATTGGAGTGACCAGCTGGGTTGTCTGGGTGATGGAGCAGGCATGGGATGAGTCTGCCTGAGCAAAGGCCGAAGAGCCCTAATGTTACGACCGACTGCTCAGTGTCACTGAAAGCTGCGAGCTGGCTGTTCCAAACAGGCCCGCCCTGTTGGGTTCCTTCTTTACTTTTGGTTGCTCCTTTCCAAATGCAACCCTCTATGCATCCATCCACTTAGCCCATTCCTTCATGCGGTGCTTTATCACGTAGCAGTTAGCATCCCTGCTAATGTAGAGCGATTACTCGTGTAGAGGGTGGAGGCAGTAGAGGTGAAGCTGGGGGGTAGAGAGGGGGCACCTCAGGCTCCTCATCAGGGCCTGGACGCCGCCGTTATGCCAGCCAGCACCTGGGCTGCACCTCGTCGTCTTCCTATCCCTCACCGGCATGAAGAATGAGGAGCATGGAGGACACAGCTCAAGTGGGGCTTCTTCAGCGGCAGTGTGTGGCTCAGTGGGCTACGCCTCTGTACTGGTGAGCCAAAGGTCGCTGGTTTGAGCCTGGCACTGGCAGAGTACTCACATGTCTGTGGGCCCTTCAGCCTTCACCTCCAAGCTTCTTCTCACCTATGTGGTCATGGAGTGCAAGGTAGAGTAGGCAAAAGGAGAATTTCCCCACAGGGATCAATAAATTGTTGTTATTATAACATTAAGATGGAGTGAGTCATGTTAGTCAACTGGGCATGTATCTCACATGATCTATTGATGGGTATCACAGGCCTTTAATCCACAAGGCTATCATGGCCTTCGATGGCTACATCGCATCAAGGCTCTGACTCTCGCTGTGGACCTTCTGTTCACACAATAAGCACAATTAAACATACTTTTCACATTTCTATATATACAGTATATGAGAGATTTATATCTATATATAAAAACAAGTGCCAGCCTACATCAGCATCTGTTGCCACATTAGCCATGGCGTTCCTGTGGTACGCATGACCCACATCCCCCCCTGGCCCACAACCCCCCCCCCCCCACTGATACCCACGCCGACAACGAGAACGCTTCCTGTCCAATGGGCTTCATTCTCACAGGGTCATGTGATTAGGGCATTTAGGATCTCACCTCATATTACACTGAAACAGAGGAAGGAGAGACCACAAGCCGCCAAGTGTGACTCAAAGGTCCCCCCATTCCCCCCCCCCCAACCCATTCCACTGGCATCATCCGCTGGACATATATTTTAAGTCGTTTTATTTAAAAATATTACATGACCATATCATGAAAGTATTAACTTTGATTTGGGGCAAGAAATCAGACAATTTCAGACACTATGTGAAGTTAGCATGTGTACATACACACACACACACACACACACACAAATACTATGTATTCCTATCTTTATGGGGACTCTCCATTCATTTCTATGGGAAAAACCCTAATACAACAATGACACCCTTAACCACTAGGCAGCCCTAATCTTAACCATAAGTAACCAAACAAAATGCAAGGCATTTTTAGTGTTTTGACTGGCTTTCATAAAATTGCAGTTATCCTTGTTGGGGGGTGAAAAAATGTCCCCGCAAGGTAAAAAGTTACAGGTTTTTATCACATTGTGATTGAATAATTACAAACTCACACACACACACACACACACATACATATACACGCACACACACACACATACACATACACACACACACACACACACACAGGCACCAGATTGAGAGTGCGAAGGCCCAGCTTGGCCGTGAGTCTTTATTCATGTCCTGAGCTGAAAGTGCACAGAGGACGTGAAAGTAGGCGGGACGCAGCCTGGAATGGAGCGAGAGATTTGAGGGTTTGATCAGATCTGGTGTTTCCACCTCACTCCCTCATTCCCTTGGACACACTCTTCATTGGCTGTAACCCCGTAAAAGAGCCAGTGAGCCACGTAACATGTGACCTCTGGAATGACATAGACCCTCTTATCCTCCTCTCCAGATCCTGTTGGGCGAGCTGACGTACTTTCTCCAGAAGCCAGAGGCTGCTCAGGAGAAGACCATCGTGACAGTCGACTGCTGCTTCTTTAACCCCCTGCTGCGCCGCATCGTGCGCTTCCTCGGTGAGCCGGCCTCTCGCCTGCTCAGGGATTTAAAAATAGCAGAGATGTGCTCTGGGGGCCCCCGAGACACAGCCTGACTTTTACGGGGGCACCATGGGACGCACAGCCCCCCCCCCGCTGCATCCATACATCTCTGAGGGCAGATTGTACAGGCTGGCTGTCTGGGTCCCTCTCCCCTGCCACGTTCTTACTGAGGTGTTCGGAACTGGGCCCTCAGGGGCCTCTCACAGGCAGTGCAGCTTTAATGAATCTGTGGTGCTTTCAGGGAGTAGCAGCTGCCTATGGAGTAAATCCACAAACTGCTTGTAAAAATGTGTAGAAATTAGGAGATTAAATCTTTGTTACTTTGTGCTGTTGTTCCTGCTTTTTTCCCTTCTTTCCTCAAAGCTTTTTAATTTCTTCTCCTCTCTCTCTCTCCCTCTTCACCTTTCTTCCCCTCTGCCTTCCCTCTCTCTTTTCTAACTTTCTCTTCTTTCTACCCCTTTGCCAACTGTCTCCCAACCCTCTCTGGCCTCCTTCTCCCCCTCCTCTCCTGCACTGCTCTCCTCTCCTCTCCTCCCGTCCGTTCTGCCCTCCATCACTTCTCCTCCCTCAGGGGTGTACTCCTTCGGCCTCTTCACCACCACCATTTTCGCCAACGCCGGGCAGGTGGTGACAGGAAACCCCACGCCTCACTTCCTGTCTGCCTGCCGGCCCAACTACACCGCCCTGGGCTGCCAGTCGCCCACGCAGTACATCACGGAGCGCCGCGCCTGCACGGGGAACCCCTTCATCGTGGCGTCCGCCCGCAAGTCCTTCCCCTCCAAGGATGCGGCTCTGAGCATCTATTCCGCCGTCTACACCGTGGTAGGTCTTCCCAGAGGGGCAGGAGTGCTCTCTCCTCCACGATAGGGCCTCATGGCTTCGCTGACACTGAATTTGATTACGAGTAGCTCTCAGTCTCCCAGGGGGCCCCTGTCATCCTCTCTCAGCTTTTCTGTGTGTATCTGCTTTCCGCTGCAGATGTATGTGACCTTGATGTTCCAGACAAAGGGTACCAGGTTGACCAAGCCCACCGTGTGCCTGTCGCTGATGTCGATGGGCGTGCTGGTGGGCGTGGTGCGCGTGGCCGAATACCGTAACCACTGGTCGGACGTGCTGGCGGGATACCTGACAGGGGGCGCCATCGCTGCCTTTCTGGTGAGGGGGCTGGATCGCCGGTGAGATGAGCGTGAACATGGTGACGTGGAAGTCCCAGTATGCAAAGTGGTGTTACTGTCTGTCTGCGTTCATGCTGTATATTATCCGTTTAATACAGCTCATCAATCTGGCTGACACCTCTGTCCACAAAAAGCTAAAAACAGCATCATTTGGGCCGTTTTCAAACCAGGAACAAAAACATTACGTACCAAGATGAGTCCAGGTCAGGTATAAATGTCTAATTCCCAGAATGCAGAATGTGACAGAAACAGAATTATTTTGGTCCTAAAACAGAATTGTTTCTGTATTTTCCAGCTGGTAGGATAGATGAGCCACAGTAAGCTATTTTAGATGCTTTGGATAGTGCTGCTTGCTAATAATAATAAGTAATAAATAAATGATTACAGGGAAGTTATTAAATTATGAATAGGTTGTTAAATATGTATCCATATTTCAACCACTTATCCAATGCAGATTAGTGGGGATTAAATATGTAACCAATGAAAGGGGCTGTATAAATTGATATATATGGTGGTTGTTGCCTCCTGAGTTGTATCTCCCCCAGGATCCTCTCTAGTTCCCCCCCCCCCCCCCCCCCCCACCACATTTAGTCTGCCCCNCCCCCCCATGCCCCGCCCCCTCTCACTCCCACATCCTCCGCTGCGCCCAGGTGACGTGCGTGATCAACAACTTCCAGCAGCCGCGGCCCCACCCGCCCCCGGTGCCCCCGCCACGCCCGGAGCCCACGGTGGGCATCCCAATGGTAGCTCTGCCCTGCGTGGAGAGTCCACTCGAAAAGTTAAGTGGCCCTCAGGTAAGGGGTGGGGAGGGAGTTCAGGGGAGGAAGGAGGAATCCTTTGGGGGGGGGGGTCCACTCAGTCCCCACATGTGTACTTAATAGAAAACTAGTCCCCCCATCTGTTATTTAAAAGTACCAACCCCCACCTCTCACACAGCGTTCCCGTTGTCCTTGGCGCACCCTGCCAGCTTGTTCCTCAGCGGCACAGTGAAGCGTCACTGCAGAAGAGAAACTGGGGTGACGGAGAAGCAGTTTTCATGCCACTTACTCTATGCGCACCTGAGACACTCGTCACCACACTCGCTAGTGACATCGCAAATCGAAAGCTGGGCTCTGAACATTCTATTAGTTTGGAGCAGTGATCCATTCTAGTAAACACTTCTTATTTATATTTTTATTATATAACAGACACTTTGGCTCAAAATGATGTACAATTGAGAAGGTAGAGGGTCAGACATTCCCTAGAGCAATTCGGGGTTAAGGGCCTTGCCCAGGGGCCCAATGGTGGTATTACTGTCCTCGTCCCTTTCCTCGTCCTTGTCCTCGTCCCTGTCCTCATTCCTGTCCTCATCCCTGTCCTCATCCCTGTCCTCGTCCCTTTCCTCATTCCTGTCCTCATCCCTTTCCTCGTCCCTGTCCTCGTCCCTGCCCTCGTCCCTGTCCTCATCCCTGTCCTCATCCCTGTCCTCATTCCTGTCCCCATCCCTGTCCTCATCCCTGTCCTCATCCCTGTCCTCATCCCTGTCCTCATCCCTTTCCTCGTCCCTTTCCTCGTCCCTGTCCTCATTCCTGTCCCCATCCCCTGTCCTCATTCCTGTCCCCATCCCTGTCCTTGTCCCTGTCCCCTAACCAGCCGCAGTAACTAGCACCCGGGGAGGACATAGTACCTTCTAGTGAGCAGCAGATGCTGGTGATTTATGACTTTAGGAGGGACCTGAAGAACCTGGGCCATGACTTGGCCCAGAGCAGTAGGAGGATCTCGCTCCACTGAGAAGGAGAACGGCAAAGCGCCTCACAGATCCCCTTCCTCCAAGCCGACTTCCTGTGACTTATTTCTGTTACCATCCTTGTGTGCATCCTTGCTATCCCCAGCTCTCTGCCCCTTTATCCTCACCTTAGTCCCTCCTTCCTTTGCCTCATTCTCCCCTTACCTTTCCTGCTCTCCTGGTTCATCTGCCTCTCTCTCCCTCTCTCTCTCGTCTTTTCCTCTGCAGACTTCAAGAGCTCCGTTCACCGAGATCACATGACCATCAGCGCTATCCCTTCCCCTCCACCCCCGATGTCCTCATACCCTCTCGCTCCATCTCCAGCGAAGTCTAGGCCCCCCCGACCAGCCCCGCCTCTGTGCTGCCCACCCTGACAAGCACCTGCCCCTCCGCCGTTCCCACTCCACCCAGGTATAAGTTTGGCCCCGCCCCCCCCCCCGCACCAGCCCTTCCGCTAACACAGCGGTGAGTCCTCTGGCAATCTCCTCCTTCCCAGGACTAAAAATCCACCCCCCCCTGCAGCATCAAAGCCATTCTTATTATTTTAATATCCATTATGTCTATCATGTGCCGATATTTACATTTCAGTAACTGTGACGCCAATCAATATGCTTCCACGTTTTTTTGATCGTTTTTATATTCTTTTATATTCCATTTTCATGTCAAAGCGCTAAACTCCTTATTCAGTGGCCTGGAACTTTTTTTGTTCTAATTTATGTCTATTGCAGCACCTTCTACATCCAAATACTAAACACTAAGGGTTTGTTTTTCACTGTTCGAAACCTTTAAAAAAGGCAGGAAAGAGGAGATGTGGCGTTCTAAGTGCTTGCCATCATCATTTTAAAGCAAACTGCAAATTCTATCCTGCCCAAACTACTACTAGGAATGTCTAGTATGAGATGGTCATTCTCTGGCTATGGAGAGACTGCATTGAAAGATCTTTTAACCTTGACACAAAAGGGACTGCTGAACTCCTCCAACGAACTACAAAGGGTGTCATTCACAACGGACTGGGCAAGCCAACATGCAAGCAGCGTCTGTCTCGTTACTCCACCCAGTGGCCAGTATATGCCACTGCATGCATAACCCTGCAAGCCCTGTGAATCTCCAAAGGTCAGCCCCAAAATCAGCTGTCCTCGATCCCCCACCTCAGACACTTTCATGGATTGCGGCCAGCGGGGACATGCTCATGCCCTCGCCCCAGAAGAACATGGGGCGCAGTTCAGGAAAACAAAGTTTCACTTCTTTCAATATGAAGAAAGACATTTTAATTCCACTTTCAATCAGTGCGTTTGTTCGGAGTTCCAGCTTGGATCACATTAAATGTGCTCGCTCTGTGATCGCTGGATTTCAGATGACCCACTTCTGAGGAAAATCCTTCAGTGATGGTACAGAAATAAGAAGGACATCTGGCACCTGATTGGATTAAACCAAAAAAAAAAGAGAAATCACATGGGTGTAATTCATCAACACAGCAGCATTTCAATGATCAGACTTTGTCCATTTGCTGTTAATTCAGAGCCACACTGCCACTCACGGCTGCCACTACATATGAATAATGATCCAATATTATCAATATTTCTTTTAAGCCTCGTAATCATTTCAATTGCAAGACATCCTAGTGGAGTACTGCAAAAAAAATCCAATTTTGTGGTTGGTACTGCCAATATAAGTCTGGTTTTATACTTCAGGGATAGTCTGTTAATATTCCGTCCAGCGATTGGGGTATCTATAATGAACCGCAAAGTCACTTATCACAGTTTTCTAAAACCACAAACAGGTTGTCTGTAGCTGAAATCAGGTTTCATAATCACTGTCCAGGGGACCCGTTCTGTATTCTGAAGTCTGCCCTGAACTTCTAAGTGGTCAAATAATCGAAAGGTCAATTCATGCTTGGCTTTAACACATGGGTCAAGTTGAAGGGCGGTTTTTTCATATTGCCACCTCTGTGCTTGTGATAATTACAGACTGGCTGCTTCCAGCCTCGAACTATTTGTGACATTTAGACTGGTGTTCCGTAATGGCTTGACCAGGGCTTGTGAGGCCGTGAGCCAGCAAACTTCATGGGCACTCAGGACTGGGATGGATTGACCAAGGCCTTAGGAATATCCATGCTATCACCACGGGCTTCTAAACCCCAGCTTCTAAACTGCTTGTCAGACATTTGCGTCTACATTTCCCTTATATCCTAATTATAGAAGCCAGTGTTCGACCTGATAATCGCGCCTATGGAAAGTGAGAGGCGTGTTTAATAGGAGAGGGAAATGTGAAAAAGAGCCGTTTCCCAGTCGAGACTCATCGCATCCTCTCATTCTACCATCCATGGCCAATGCCAATACCAAATAGCCTTTGCTGATGTAGCGAGATGGCGTTCTAGTTATGTAGTTTACCGTCAGCCTGCTATGTAGCCGTGACCAGTCGGGAACATGAATTAGTAGATAAGTTCTTTTGCTGATGTATGGGCACGCAGGATGCACAAGGTGGTATATATTGCAGACTTTCTCAAAACGGGGGTGGACTGCAACCCTCGGTGAGAATATAATAAAATTGCAAGTGCACAACACTTGATTTTTCAATTGACAGTTTCAGTTATTATAGAACAGTTATTTCAAATGGTAGCTGCAATACTGACAGCTGCTGGTTAGATCATATGATAAGATCCCTACTAGGGTATTTTTTTAAAGCAATGGTGATCGAAAAAGGTAAGAATTTTGTGGCATGACACTGAAGAGTCAGAATGAGAGAGCGCTACATGTTTACATGCTGATTAATCGTTAGCTCTCTTAGAAAGCACTTTAATTGAGGACTATTACATCATCACTGCGATAGAGATGTCTTTATTTACAGGATCTTGTCTGTATTTCGTCCAGTGTCACTGGGATGTCGACGAAAATATCCATTGAAAAAATGATGTTGTGCTTATGATTGTTCATATGCATAGAAATTGTTGGTGTTTTATGTTTGTCTGGTATTTCACTGGGCTAGTTCTGAATCTGAAGGTCTCTATTTTATTAATGTGCTTCATTGTGATGGTTTTCCCATAGTTCGTTTTGTCGGGATATCTATATGTAAATGAATCTGGTAAGTGTGGGCTCAGCCTTAGAGGGTCCGGAAAGTTTAAGTGAAACCATTTTACTCATTGGACTCTAGGGTACCCAGGACTGCGGGCTGTGGGGGATATTGTTCAATCACAGCGTGTGGTAGTGTGATTGAAAATATTCAATCGGGCTTGGTGTTTCAGAATTTTAAAACATGTATCTAACAAGATGTGAGACAGGCAGCCGTTAAACCCGCAGGACAGAGGCCCTGAGACATGAAGTTGGTTGTATGGGTCTATTATGGTGCCTAAGAGTAAATGATGTGCTCACTGGCGCCCTCCTCCTGCTGGAGGCCAGAACAGCAATGGCCACGACCCAGGATGCGTCTCGCACTGATTCTCTCCCCAGAAACCCGGGGCAGAGAAACATCGGCTCCCTGGTTTATTAAAGGGGGAGGGGCAACTCCTCCTCTCTTTGAAATCTCACCGTTCATGGGTCCGTGAAGCTCAAAGGATCTTTTGAACCTCCTCAGGAATAAAGAAACACAAAACGGAATCCAAGTTCTGACATTATTTATTAGATTGCATTTGATACGCAAAGAGTGAAATAAAAATGAATTATGAATGGGTATTTTGAAGGAAAAGAATACATAAAGAAACAGAACAAGAAATTTTATGAATTAAGCATTTTCATTACTATAGAAATCTTTTATAAAGTATTTATTCTGTGTGGTTGGAGCCAGAGATGCTCTTTATCTCGTATTTTTGTTACAAATACAGAAGAGAGTATTTATACATATTAATGTAAAAAAAAACCATGCAGAGACAATCTTTCAACCAGCTGGGGAGGTAGACAACTGAATAGACATTAATTTAACTGAGGGTAACGGTATACAGGCGTAGAAAGAACACAAAGATGAAAATACAGTCTAATGTAGTTACAGTGTGATTAAAACTCAATCCAGTGGGCTACCCACATGGCTGTTTCTGAATCCATATGAACTGTCTGTTTCTGGTGTACCTTTTTGGGACTTTTTGTTGTTTTTACGTTTAGTTAATGATTGTATCTCACTTATACAGCCGAGTCTTTTACTGGAGTCGTTCAGATAAAGTACCTCGCTCAAGCGTACAACAGCCGTGCCCTTTCAGGGTTATGAGTCCGTGACGGTACCTGCTGCCCCCTGGTGGTGAAGTGTTGCGGCCCTTGTAACTTTTTACGGGCAGACTACAGCTTTTAAGTTTTTACTTTAATCAGCCTATTTTTCTGTAAAAAAAAGTGCTTTTTTTGTATATGAAAACCTGTTCACTACATGTATTTGTACTATTTAGCTGGAGTGTGATGTTTGGTGACATTGCGTTGTTTCTTGTATAACTTTGGGGGACTTCTAACTCGTTATTACAGGCCAGCAACAAACGAAGGCTCCTCTCCAATCTTTACGCCTCAGTGTGGCCCCAGCAAGGCTGCTCACAGACTCCAGGCGACTGACTGTAATCCAGTGCACCAGTGCAACAGACTGGCTCTGCGTAGGTCTCTCTCCAGTGTAGGCAGCTAAGCTCCACTCCTAGCCAGGCGTGAGGGATGTGTTGTTACAGGCAGGATGTTGTGAAACCAGGTAAGATGAAGGGGCGATGGCGCGGAGTACATCCTTATTTTACCAACAACGCCGGATTTCCATTCCGTCACCTCTGAGGTACTTTGCTTGGGCGGCTTCCCCAAAACTGTGGAGCGGGGAGTGAGGCGACTGTTCAGGCATTGACAACTGAGTCATTCCATCACATGTTTTTATTTATTCCCACCTTATGTACAGGATCTTCGGATAGTTCATTTTTCAAACAAACACAGTAAAACATGTTATTCCTAAATTATGTACAGATTCATGGCCAGTGCTTAAGTGTTTACAGCAGCAATCGTTTTGCGTTGTTTGATGGGGGCTTCTTCGGGGTATTCGATACCGTACGTTACTCGGATATTCGGATAGGATACTCGGGTCTGTTTGAATGAGTGAGTTTGAATATTGACCATTTTTTATTTTCAAATTACTGATTATTGCACTCCTATATTTACCTTTTTCTCGTTAGATTAACTGGGCTAAACTTATTTTGTTCTTTCGTTTGTCTGGATCCGCAGTTCCTTAAATGCTCAGTGCAAACGGCGCGGTCACCTCTGCCGTCGTCTGCACCAACCGGGGCAGTGGTGTAGACCACAGTGCACCTTTAAGGTGTTATTGTCAGATTTAAACCATTTCGATACCATCATCACCATGCTTTTTTTTTTTTAATGAGACGTCATGGAAGTA